TTTTGAGCATTACTTTGCTAGCATGTGAAATGAGTGCGATTGTGATGGGATTCCAGCTGAGCTATTTCAAATCCTAAAAGATGATGCTGTGACAGTGCTGCACTCAATATGTCAGCAAATTTGGAAAACTCAGCAGGGGCCACAAGACTGGAAAAGGCCAGTTTTCTTTCCAATCCCAAAGAAAGGCATTGCCAAAGAATGCTTAAACTACCACAAAGAGTTGGACACGACTGAGCGCCTGCACTGAACTGAACTGAACTTGAACATTCTCTGGCATTTTCTAACATCCTGGGTGCCTACCTGGAGCCCAGGCCTAGGGACCCTAACTGGCATTTTTCACCCGGGGAGCCCTAATGTGGAGTGGCCCAGCACCTACTTCCAAAGGCCTCCCGTGACTCTTTGCTTCTTCTGCCAGAGCTAGCTTTGCTCCCTGCTCTGGCTTTGGGCATGCCAGGGGCCGGCCTGCCACCCCTTAGCTGGGGGTCCATGGGAGGTGCCGGGTGCCCTCGGCTAGGTGACCCCGTCATGGCACCTGTCCCCCTCAGACACATTCCCTATTGGCCTCCTTCCCTATTGGCAGGATCACTCTGCCCTAGGAACATGTTTGCAAGGCTTGCAGAGTGCAAGCAGACACCTGGCCCTGACTCAGGAATTGAGGCCCTGGGAGCAGGCCCGGAGGTCTGGGTGTCTGAGGAGCGACACACTGGCTGCACGACAGAGGCCTGGAAACCCACTCTCTGGGGCTGCCCTCCTGCCTCCAAGGAAGATAGCGTCCCCAGCCGTCTGCAGGCTGACCGTCACCCCCAGCTGGGAAGTGCTGGCTGGGCAGTCATTTTGCAGTGGCAATGGCCACTGGGTCCCTGCGCCCAGGGAGGGCTCCCACACTCCCAGGGAACGTCCAGGCAACCTCCACACGGCTTTTCTGTCATGTTTGCTCTGCTAGAGAGAGCTCTTGAGTCTTGGCCTGTCTGCACCTTGCTCGGCTACTGTTGGCAGAACACCCTGGGCGCCCACCTCGAGCCTGGGCCTAGGGGCCCCAACTGGCATTTTTCGCCCATGGAGCCCTAATGTGGGGCGACCCACATTTGCTTCCAAAGGCCTCCCATGGCTGTTTGCTTCTTCTGCCAGAGCTAGCTTTGCTCCCCGCTCCGGCATTGGGCACGCCAGGGGCTGGCCCGCCACCACTCGCCAGGGACACATGGGAGGTGCCAGGTGCCCTTGGCCAGGTGACCCCAGCATGGTACCCAGCCTCCTCAGATGCACTCCCACTGCCTCATTCCCCATGGGCAGGACCGCACTGACCTAGGAATGTGTTTGCAAGGCTTGCAGAGTGCAGGCAGACACCCGTGACTGACTTGGGAATTGAGGCCCTGGGAGCAGACCCGGAGGTCTGGCGTCTGAGGGGCCACACACTGGCTGCACGACAGAGGCCTGAAAACCACCTCTCTGGGGCTGCCTTTCCTGCCTCCCAGGAAGATAGCATCCCCAGCCGCCTGCGGGCTGAGAGTCTCCCCTGGCTAGGAAGCCCTGGCTGGGAGGTCATTTTGCAGTGGCATTGGCCCCTGGGGCCCCGCGCCCAGGGAGGGTTCCCACACTCCCAGGGAATGTCCAGCCAACCTCCACACAGCTGTTTTGTCACGTTTGCTCTGCAGGAGAGAGCTCTCGAGCCTAGGCCCATCTGCACTGTGCTCAGCTTCTGCAGGCAGAACCCCCTGGGCACCTGCCTGGACCTGGGGCGCAAACTGGCTTTTTTTTGCCAGGGGAGCCCTAATGCAGGGTGGTCCAGCAACTGCTTGCAAAGGCCTCCCATGGCTGTTTGCTTCCTTCTGCCAGAGCTAACTTTGCTACCTGCTTTGGTTTTTCGCAAGCTAGGTGCCGGACCACCACCCTTCGCCAGGATCCTGTTGGAGGTGCCAGGTGCCCTCGGCCATGTGACCCCAGCATGGCACCTGGCCCCCTCAGACACACTCCCGCAGGCTTCTTCCTCATGGGCAGTACTGCGTTGACCTAGAAATGCGTTTGCAAGGCTGGGAATGTGCAGGGTGACACACGGCCCTTACTTGGGAATTGAGGCCCTCGGAGCAGGCTTGGAGGTCTGACCTCTGAGGAGCCAAACCCCTGAAAACACATTCTGTCGCCTGCCTTTCCTTCCTCCAAGACATAGCTTTCCCAGCCTCTTGCGTGCTGAGAGTCACAGAGGGCTGGAACGCGCTTGCTTTACCGTCATTATTCAGTGGCAATAGCCCCTGAGGCCCTGCACCTAGGTTGGGCTCCCACACTCACAGGGGAATCAAAGTGACACCCAAATGAGTCAGCTCTTCGCATCAAGTGGCCAAAGTATTGGAGTTTCAGGTTCATATTAGTCCTTCCAATGTATATTCAGTTCCTGATTTCCTTTAGGATGGAGTGGTTGGGTCTCCTTGTAGTCTAAGCGACCTTCAAGCGTGTTCTCCAACACCACAGTTCAAAAGCATAAAATCTTTGGTGGTCAGCTTTCTTTATAGTCCAACTTTCACATCCATACATGACACATGGATAAACCATAGCCTTAACTAGATGGATCTTTGTTGGCAGAGTAACGTCTCTGCTTTTTAACATGCTGTCTAGTTTGGTCATCACTTTCTTTCCAAGTCGTAAGCATCTTTTCGGAGAAGGCAATGCCGACCCACTCCACTGCTCTTGCCAGGAAAACCCCATGGATGGAGGAGCCTGGTAGGCTGCAGTCCATGGGATGGCTAAGAGTCAGACCAAACTGAGCGACTTCACTTTCACTTTTCACTATCATGCACTGGAGAAGGAAATGGCAACCCACTCCAGTGTTCTTGCCTGGAGAATCCCAGGGACGGCAGAGCCTGGTGGGCTGCCGTCTATGGGGTTGCACAGAGTCAGACACGACTGAAGTGACTTAGCAGCAGCAGTAGCAAGCATCTTTTAATTTCATGGCTGCAGTCACCATCTGCAGTGATTTCTGAGTGCCCCAAAATAAAGTTTGCTGCTGTTTCCACTCTTTTCCCATCTATTTGCCATGAAGTGATGAGGCCAGATGCAATGATCTTAGTTTTCTGAATGTTGAGCGTTAAGGTAGCTTTTACACTCTCCTCTTTCACTTTCATCAAGAGGCTCTTTAGTTATTCTTCCCTTTCTGCCATAAGGGTGGTGTCATCTGTATATCTGAGGTTATTGATATTTCGCTGGCAATCTTGATTCCAGCTTGGGCTTCATCCAGCCCAGTGTTTCTCACGATGTACTCTGCATATAAGTTAAATAAGCAGGGTGACAATATACAGCCTTGACATATTCCTTTTCCTATTTGGAACCAGTCTGTTTTTCCATGTCCTGCGACCTCATGGACCACAGGGTGCCAGGCTTCCCTGCCCATCACCAATTCCCAGGGCTTGCTCAAACTCATGTCCATTGAGTCAGTGATGCCATCCAACCATCTTATCCTCTGTTGTACCCTTCTCCTCTGCCTTCAATCAAGACTATTGTAGACAGATAATATATATATATATGTATGTATATATTCCCATTTATTTTTATTAGTTGGAGGCTAATTACTTTACAATATTGTAGTGGTTTCTGCCATACATTGACATGAATCAGCCATGGATTTACATGTATTACCCATCCCGATCCCCCCTCCCACCTCCCTCCCTATCCCATCCCTCTGGGTCTTCCCAGTGCGACTATTATAGACAGATATTTTAAAGTATAATTATTTTTAATAGTTTATCTAAAAGCTCCTATTGCATTTACATTTTTTAGGAGTTTTTTTGTTTGTATTTAGAGGTACTTTGCTGACAAGCTTGTGACAGATATAACAATGCAGCAGCATTTAGCTCATGATGAACCGGGCACTGCGAACAGTGATGCTTACTGTTAGTGACTCTTAGACGTGTCTGTATTAGAGTAGCAAAAAAAATACTAGATATTTAATATTGACTATTTCCCAGCTCACATGAATCTAAAAATTACTCAGGTCAATTTTCTCTTGTAGTTAGAACTGTTTGATTTGTAAGGGCTTCCTTTTCTTTAGATTATTTAAATAAGAACTCACAACTTCAGCAATATTATAAAAAAACAGAAGACTCACACTGAAACGTACATAAATCCACACAGACAGACAGAGATCTTCTAGTTTTCCGCCTCAGATTTAAAATAGCTCTTTGACCTCCTTTTTTTGGGGCGGGCGGGGGGGGCTTCTCATTTGCCCAAGGCTGAGGTCTCAGGCAAAGTGGGCAGTGTTTTTCAAGGAAAGGGTTAACTTCAAGCTTTGCCCTAGGCAGGCCTTTTTAACAAGCTAATTGTTTTTAATTGCATATGCAAAAGAACCAGCTTTACAGTTTCCAAGAAAAATTTTTTTTTAATTTTAACCAGTTTTCTCTGGTTCTATAGAATATCATGGCCATACTCGGTCAGGTCATCTTTCCTTTCTGTAGTCATAGTTTTATCCCTGAATTATAGACAGATCAGCTGACAAGCTTTCCATAGTTGAAGCTGCGGAAGGATCTTTAACGTGGTCCGCTCAGAGAGCGGCAAGGTGGTCTCGCCTCGCCCCGCCCACCTCGTGAGCCTCTCCTCCACCGGTGCAGCGCGGGATGGGAAGGAAGGGAGGGAAGGACGTCTGGAAGGCGGCGCGCCCCGGGCGGGCGGTCGGTTCCTTTGGCCTTTCCAGAGGTAGGGGATGAGGAGCAGCGCGAGAAGGTGTGGGGCGGCTTGCAGAGTGGGGGTCGGGTGGGAAAGACGGCTCTCCTCCGCCTTCCCGCCCGCGCCACCGGCCCTTCCGCGCCTCCATCCCCGGCCGGGCGCCCCGCCACCCTTGCCCCGCGCCCAGTGGCGTCGTCTCTGGTGTCCCTCTTCTGTCCGACCTCCCCTCCACTTTCCCTCGAGGTTGGGTCCGAGGCTTGGGGTGGTGGGGGGGAGGTGCTCAGCGCGCCCCCACCCTACCCCACGCGCCTTTGCCCGTGGCGCCAGCCACGACTGCCTTCCCTCCCGGCCACCGACCGCACAGCGCGGATCCTCAGGTTGTGTCTCGAGGGCTGTGCGGCCTGACGGGTGGCGGCTCCCCGCCGCGGGGCCGCGTGCCTGTCCGTCGCCTCCCGCCGCTGGCCCTGGACCTGGCCGGTCGTCGGTCGTCCGCTGCGCTGGGCCTGCCGCGCGGTCGCCAGGCGCCTCCTCACGCCCTCAGAGCCTCGGGGCTTGCTCCCAAACCCCCTCCCCACGCCTCCCGCAGCTGTCTTGTCCGTTTCTCTCGCCCTCTCACCTCTGTCGTGTCCCCTGCCCGCTTGGCGCCACACTTCCCGTCGGAGCCTCTTCCCTCTGCCCTTGGTGGTGGGGGGAGAAGGGTGCCTGGGACCCGGGCGCGGGTAGGGGGTCCCTGTGGTTGAGGGGAGTGGAGAGGGTCCCCTGGTGGGGGGGGGATGCCGTAGGGGTGTGCGAGGTGGTGGGGGAGGGCTCTGCCCCGTTACAGGGGGATGTGGGGATGGTCGTTTGGCGTCGGCGGGGACCTCCGGGCAGCGGTCGACCGGCACACGGTGGGGCCCCCATGCGTCACAGGCCAGCAGCACCGAAGCCTGTGGGCGGCCGCGGGCGGGGACGCTGTGGTGGTCGAAGTCTGGTCGGTGGCCCCTGGGGCGCGCCGTGCTCCTCGCCCGCCTCCCCTTTTCCAGGTACCTAGTATGGGGCTTCCCTGGTGGCTCAGATGGTAAAGTGTCTGCCTGCAATGCGGGAGACCCGGGTTCGATCCCTGGGTTGGGAAGTTCCCTTGGAGAAGGAAATGGCAACCCACTCCAGTACTCTTGCCTGGAAAATTCCATGTACGGAGGAGCCTGGTAGGCCACAGTCCACGGGGTCACGAAGAATCGGACACGACTGAGCGACTTCACTTCACAGCTGATAAAAAAAGCTTGGTTGTTTCGGTGGGGTGGATTTGCTCCTGGAGGGATTTCACCTGGCAGCAGTAGCGAGGCCCGCGGGCCTCTCCTGGGAGGCATATGGGCGGAGCACACCTGGCCCGCATTGGGAGCGGAGCGCACCTCCTCCGAGTTCTTAGGCAGTGGGTCCCAGGTCTCAGGGGTCTCCATTGCATCAGGGAACGCCCATTTCGTTGGCTCCTGGGTCCCCATTCATCGGCATTCAGTGAGCGGAGGGGTGCGGGCCACAGGTAAGGGAACTGGGGCTCGGTGGAGCAGGGAACCACGTATTTAGCTCTCTCTGTTGGCACAGTCTCTGAGCTCCCTAACCTGGTGGTAGCAGAAAGGCCTCGCCATTGGGGTCAAGGCCTTTACCACTTTACCCCTTCGCATAAAGTTCAGATCCGCGCGGTTTTTCCAAGCAGCCTAATTCCTGCAGCGAGGTCCCCAGGAAGTCCAAGGGATTTATCCTGCATGGTGGTTTCACCTGCTGGGACTCCACAACCCTTAGTCTGGCCGCCTGGCCCAGACCTGCTTCCGGCACTTTGCAGGCCTGCGGGCCCTTGACCACCTGCTGGGATGGCAATGGGAAGGGTCCGCGAATTGCACCCTAGAAACTTAGTAGGGTGCATGGATTTAAAAACCTGGTGGCCACCCAGGCAGAAAAGAAGGGAGGAGGGCAGCTTGCTGCCCTTTCGTGGGGGAGTCTGTGGCTGTCCTGCTGAGAGGGGGCCTTTCCATGGGGACCCTGTGCAATAAGGGTGGTGTTTTGGAACTGAATAATTAGAACGTGTAAAAATTTTAAATTATGTGATGCTTTAATTAAAAAAGCTCCAAAGTGTTTGCAAATTGAGGTCTAAAAATTGAAGGCCTATTTTCCTTCCACTGTGGCATTCTATGAAGAAATTTGCTTTTTTTTTTTTTTTTTAAGAAAAGAGTCGGAAAAGTGAGGGAGACAGAAAACCCAGAGGTGCCCCTGTGGTTTGTTTGGCGAAGGCCTTAGGAGGTCACCTGTAAATGCTGCTGGCTGTCGGGAGGCAGGCTCTTGTGACCGATGGGCACAGAGCTGTGCAGGCGTTTCCTCTGCATGGGTGTTCTTGTTTGTGGAAATCCAGCTCAGAGCCATCTCCTGATGTGTAAGAATTTCCCAGACTAGACCCCTAGGCAAATCCCACAGGGCCAGGGACTCCTCCTTTCATTATATTTGTCTGTTTGACTGAAAAGCAGAAATGACATATTTTTCTTTGAATCTGGTCCATCATCCAGGCTTTGGAGTAGTATTTCCCTCCCCCTCAGTAGGCTTGGGTTCCAGGGATGAATTATAGTTAGTTGTCCATGATTTTACAGATGAGGAAACTGAGAGCCAGAGAGGGTGGAGGACTGTCCAAGGGAGAATGGGATATCCTTCCAGGAACCCTGGCTCCTGGGTTTTTAATGAGCTTCCTACCCAGTGTGGTCATTAATTGGCCAGTGTTGACATTGAGAATAAACTATTGGTGGAAGTGTGAAAGGCTTTTTAAAAGAATGTGCCTACCAGCTGTGCATCTTATGGAGTATTTTCATTATACTCCCCAACCCTTGGAAAGTGCTGGGCACAGGGCAGATGCTTCACCATTTTTATTGAATAAGTTCAGTTTCACACAGTTATATCCATAATGTCAGCAACACTATGAGGTATATTAGAACAGTGATCATCACAGTTGGTATTTCACGGATCAGTAAAGAAAGAAAGCTTTTTCTTAGGAAGACTGTAAAAGAATTGCTAAGTAATAAGTTTATCCCACAAGGATATTTTCAAAAACTGAAACAAATCTCTCCGATCATCACCAAGGCTATTGGAGGTCTGTTGAGGACCCCACGCAAGGGACGTTCTACCTCTTGGGACACCCCTGCTTCAGCATCTCCCTAAGCCAGCAACCTGGGACAGCTGAGTACACTTGAAGTTCCTTCCTTGACCTCGGGAGTTTTTTTGGAAGACAGTGTTTTGACAGACAGGGGTGGGGGAAGGTTTTGGGATGTTTCAAGTGCAGTCCATTTATTGTGCACTCTATTTCTATTTCTGTTCCCTGGTGGCTCCGTTGGTAAAGAGTCTGCCTGCAATGCGGGAGATCAGGGTACAATCCCTGGGTCTGGAAGATCTCCTGGAGAAGGAAATGACAGCCCACTCCAGTATTCTTGCCTGAAGAATTCAATGAACTGAGGAGTCTTGTGGGCTACAGTCAGTAGGGTCACAAAGGGTTGGACACAGTTGAGTGACCAAACACTTATTTCTGTTATTATTTCATCAGCTCCACCTCAGATCATCAGGCATTAGATCGTAGAGGCTGGCCCCTGCTTTAGTTCCCTCTTTCATCTTCTACACAGCTCCAGCCTGCTTCCTCCTCCTCTTCCACTTGCAGAAGTACCTGCTGGGCTTCTCTGAATGTGACTGAGAATCTCCTTCCCGCACTTCCTTTTCTCTGAGTCCCTTCCTCTAACTGGGTTTCCCTGTTCTCCATTTAGACACTTTTGCTCCAGGTGGTGCTAGTGGTAAAGAACCTACCTGCCAATGCAGGAATTTGATCCCTGGATTGGGAAGATCCCCTGGAGGAGGGCATGGCAACCCACTCCAGTATTCTTGCCTGGAAAATTCCCGTGGACGGAGGAGCCTGATGGGCTCTGACAGTCAGATGTGACTGAAGCGACTTAGCGCAGCATACCAGAGGACCTTTGAACTGCAGACTCCTGTGATTGTTTTGGCTCTTTGGAGTACCTTGTCATTCCACGTGTATGTTAGGGTCAGCTTGTGTATTGCTTCCTAAAAGCCTCCAGAGGGTAACAGGCAGGAAGGCCAGGGGTCTCTGGACAGAGAAAATAGGCTGCAAGTGTCAGACGTTTTTTTTAATCTCTCTCTCAAGAGGCAGGAGGAAACAAGCTAGTGTTACATTTTTTCCCCTTCTCGATACAAATTTAAAAGGAGCTTTCTCTTAAAATTGTGTGTTGCCATGATGACTCCTGGCTCCACCTGAATTTAACTTTTCTCAAACCTTGAGCTAAACAATGCATTTTTCTTATGGAAATGTTTGTCTTAAGCTATGTTAATGTCTATGTATTTACCCTAGATTTTGTCTTCAAGTCGGTTCCTCCTAAAGGCTCAGAACCAACTTGACAAACCAGTATGTTTTACTCATACCTTGTTCTCCTAATCTATGTTAATGAAACTATATATTTGCTTGGAAATCTGCCTTTTTTCAAGATTCATGTCAGTCATTTTATGGCCTGGGATGACTCACCTGCCACCAGTGTTATCTCAATGCATGTTTTGGGTGAGAGGCCTAGTGCCATTCTGAGACATTGCCTTTCTTTAATTAGCAGACTGCTAGTGGCTGTATAACATCAGGCTGAAGACTAGCAGGGGGTAGTCTATGTCAGCAGCTTTCTCTATCTCTTTTATACTCTAATAAAACTTTATGACACAAAAGCTCTGAGCGATCAAGCTTCGTCACTGGCCCTGGATTGAATTCTTCTCCTCTGGAGGCCAAGAATCCTGGCATCTTTTGTGGTTTAGCATCAACCTTTCAGCCTTTTGTAATTCACATTGAATCTTCATTTCAGATTGAAGATGCATTCCATGGTATTGCCATCTCAAGTCTTTCCATCACTATGGAATATGTGTACATGTATTTAGGACATTTTCCAGCCATCGTGTATAATTTCTGGTGTGCCAGTCTTGTCATCCTCATTACATCCATGGCAAAGTATTTTATTAATGCTGACAATATTGAAAGGGAATTGTTTTTTTTAAATTCCTTTTCAGGCTGTTATTTGCTAGTGTATACAGATAAAAGTGTGTAATCATTTTTATCAGTTTGGACAGCTTGATAGTTATGTTTACTTTCTTATAATTTAAGATTACCCTGGCTTATGTATTTACTGTCTCACCCCTAGTCTCAGTCATTTCTTCAAAGAACTTGTGTCCTTTTTTTTTCCACACTGAATATCTTTGACTATGCTGGGTCTTTGTTGCTGGATGTCTGGTTGTAGTAGCAGAGGCTGCCCTCTAGCTGCCGTGCCATGGCCTCTCATTGCAGCGCTTTCTCTGCTTGCAGAACTTGGGCTCTGGAGCATGCAAGCCTCAATAGTTGTATGGGGGCTTAGTTGCCCCCGGGCATGTGGAATCTTCTAGGACCAGGAATTGAACCTGTGTTCCTTGCATTGGT